GTTACATAGGTAAACGTATGCCACAGTGGTTTGCTGCACCTATCAACCGATCCCTTAGGTATTAAGTCCCACATGGTGTAGCTCTGTCTTGATTCTCTTCCTCCCCAACCCCGCCAACAGGGCCCAGTGTGTGTTGTTCCTTTCTCAGTGTCCCTGTGTTCTCATTGTTCAGCTCCCTCATATGAGTGAGAGCATGTGATTTTTGGTTTTCTGCAGATAATTTCTTATTGCTTATTAATATTATTTTCTTTCAGACTGAAGAACTCCATTCAGTATTTCTTGTAGGACAGATCTAGTGTTGAAGAAATTCCTTGGCTTTTGTCTAGAAAAATCTATTTCTCATTCATGTTTGAAGGATATTTTTGCCAAATATGCTAGTCTAGGATATAATGTTTTTTCTTCAGCACTTTAAATATGTCATGCCACCCTCTCCTAGCCTATACAAACTTCCACTGAGAAGTTTGCTCCCACCCATATTGGAGCGCCATTGTGTGTTATTTGTTTTTTCCTCTTGCTGATTTTAGGATTCTTTATGTATCCTTGGACTTTGAGAGTATGATTATTCAATGTATTGAGGTAGTTTTCCTTGGGTTAAGTCTGCTTTATGTTCTATAACTTTCTTGTATTTGAATGTTGATGTCTTTCTCTAGGTTTGGAGAGTTCTCTGATATCATCTCTCTTCAACTCCTCTCTCTCCACCTCCTATTTTAAGCCAATAACACTTAAATTTGTCCTTTGGATGCTATTTTCTAGATCTTGTAGAATGTTTCATTCTACGTATGTATGTATGTTTCCATAAGTCATTGGGGTACAGGTGGTATTTGGTTACATGAGTAAGTTCTTTAATGGTGATTTATAAGATTTTTGGTGCATCCATCACCCGAACAGTATACACTGCACCATATTTGTACTCTTTTATCCCTCATCCCCCTCATGCTCTTTCCACCAAGTCCTCAAAGTCCATTGTATCATTCTTAAGCCTTTGCATCCTCATAGCTTGGATCCCATGTATCAGTGAGAACATACAACCTTTGGTTCCTGAGTTACTTCACTTAGAATAATGGTCTCCAATCTCACCCAGGTCACTGCAAATATTCTATCATATATGTATACCACAATTTCTTTATCCACTTGTTGACTGATCTTCATTCCTTCTTATTCTTTTTTCTTTTGTCTCTCTTGACTATGTATTTTAGAAATATTCTGTCTTAAAGCCCACTGATTCTTTCTTATGATTGGCACTCACCACTCGGACTGTGCTAGATCAATCCTGAAGCTGGCACACACTGAGTCTTACCCATGGCCCTCTGTAACCACTACCTGGCTACCATCTGTGTTTGCTCAAGGATCTAGTAATCTAAAATTAGCAGGTGGTAAAGCCAGTCAGTCTTGTGAACTGCCCTTCATAGAGGTGAGGTCCCCTGAGCCCTGGGCACATCC